CCCCCCCCCCCTCCCGTGCCTCGCAGGCAAGTACCTGTCCCTGGGGGAGGTGCAGGACCTTGTCCAGCCGTCCCCGGCCACGCTCATGGCCGTGCTGAAGTGGCTGCAGGGGCACGGCGTGGAGAGCTGCAGCAGCGTTGCCACCCTCGATTTCCTGGAGTGCCAGATGCCGGCGAGGTGAGCCCTGGGGGGCTGGGGCCATCCCAGGGGCAGGAGAAGCCCCCCTGCCCCGTCGCCAGGGCTCTGCCCGGGCCCTGAGGGCTCTGCAGCAGGAGCTGCCTGTGCCTGCTCCCGGTCTGGGGGGTCAGCGCCGGTGGCCTGGAGTGCTGGAAACAAGGCGCCCCTACCCGTGGGTGCTCGGGCCAGCCCCACACCTCCCCCTCCTTCCGTGGGGCTGCAGGGACCCCCCGGGGGAGCGGGATAGAGCTGCAGGGGACCCTGAGCTGTGGGTGGGTGATGGGAGTGGGAGGGCTGTGAAGGGGCTTCCGAGGTCAGCCCGGCTGGTGGGAGCGGAGCTCGTCCCCGACCCCGCGGGAGGGGGCGGGAGGGGTGGGGGCAGGGCAGAGCGTGGCCGCACGGGGCTGTCCCCGCGGTGCCAGCCCTGTCCCGGTGGCCGTCCCCGTGTTGCAGCCTGGCCGAGCGCCTCCTGCCCGGGGCCCAGTTCCACCGCTACGTGAAGGGCCAGCGCAGCGTCGTGCGCTCCCCGCTGCCCTACGCCGTCCCTGAGGAGCTGGCGGAGCACGTCGACTTCGGTACGTCCTGCGTGGGGCGGGGGGGCAACGGGGCTGCTCCTGCTGCCCAGGGTGCGGGTGGGACGCTGGGCATCCAGCAGCCAGGACTGGCCACCTTGGTGCCCCCGGGGACAGTGTGGTGTGTCCTCCGGCTGTGGTCCCTAGACTCCCCCGAGGATGTAGATCCCTGGCCACAGTCAAGGTCAAGGTTGGACAGGGCTCTGAGCAACTTGATCTCGTTAGAAGATGTCCCTGCTCCTTCCAGGGGGGGTGGCCTTTAGATGTCCCTTCCCACCAAAGCCTTCTATGGTCAACAGGCAGCACCCAAAGTGTTTCTTGCTGGTGCTCTCGGTCCTGGGGGCTCCATGGGGAGAGTTGGGGTGCAGCCTGTCCCTGTGGACAGAGGTGGAATTTCTGGGCTGGAAAAACTCCCTCCCGCGAGTCCCTTTTGGGTGGGCTCCCGCGGCCCCCCGCGAGGACAGCAGAGGGGTGCCAGGCTGTGGCACTGGCCTGGCAGTGGGGACATTGAGCCTGGGTACGTCGGTGGGGGTGGGTGAGGAATCCGAGGGAGCCCTTCCCCACCTCCTGTGCGGTGCTGGGGGTGGGTGGTGCTGGGGTCGGCCCCCCCAGCCCTGCTGCAGGCCAGCCCTCAGCCGTGAAGCCTGAGTCAGGGTGGTGAAGGGGAGCCAAGGGGCCACGGGGCCGTCCCCCCAGAGCTCAGGGCCCCAATAACTCCTGCTTTTCCCTCTTGTGCTGCAGTGGGTGGCCTGCACCGGTTCCCCGCGGAGAGGAGGGTGGTGAGCAGAGCCTGGGACGGGAAGGACGCGGGGCCGAGGCAGCAGCACGGAGCGAGAGCGGGTTTCCACCTGGGTGTGACGCCTTCCATCCTCCGCCAGAGATACAACATGACGGGGGCAGACGTGGGGCTGCACCCCAACAACAGCCAGGCCTGCGCCCAGGTGAGGGGCAGAGCCCCGTGGGAGCCCACACGGGTGCTTCTCCAGCGCTTTGCTGCTCGGGGGGGGTTCCTCAGTGGCTGGGGGGAGCCCCTGGTGGGCTAGTGTTTCACTGGCCCAGCCTGGGCCGAGTTTCTAAGTCGGGAGGAAAAACTTACGCTGTTTTTTTTTCAAGAGAAAACGAGAACAACCTTGTGCCCTCCTTGTCCCCCCAGTTCCTGGAACAGTATTTCCACCAGGCTGACCTGGCCGAGTTCATGCAGCTCTTTGGCAGCAGCTTTGGCCACCGCTCCCAGGTGGACCACGTGGTGGGGCACCAGGGCAAGGGCAAGGCTGGGCTGGAGGCCAGTCTGGACGTGGAGTACATCATGAGCACGGGCGCCAACATCTCCACCTGGGTCTTCAGCAACGCAGGTACCCACCCCCCTGCTCCGCGGGGAGACGCGTGGGCTCTGCCAGATGCCGGCGAGGTGAGCCCTGGGGGGCTGGGCCCTGTGGGGGTGGCCGTGCCCGTCCCAGGGGCAGGAGAAGCCCCCCCTGCCCCGTCGCCAGGGCTCTGCCTGGGCCCTGAGGGCTCCGCAGCAGGAGCTGCCTGTGCCCGCTCCCAGTCTGGGGGGTCACCGCCGGTGGCCTGGAGTGCTGGAAACAAGGCGCCCCTACCCGTGGGTGCTCGGGCCAGCCCCACACCTCCCCCTCCTTCCGTGGGGCTGCAGGGACCCCCCGGGGGAGCGGGATAGAGCTGCAGGGGACCCTGAGCTGCGGGTGGGTGATGGGAGTGGGTGGGCTGTGAAGGGGCTTCCGAGGTCAGCCCGGCTGGTGGGAGCGGAGCTCGTCCCCGACCCCGCGGGAGGGGGCGGGAGGGGTGGGGGCAGGGCAGAGCGTGGCCGCACGGGGCTGTCCCCGCGGTGCCAGCCCTGTCCCGGTGGCCGTCCCCGTGTTGCAGCCTGGCCGAGCGCCTCCTGCCCGGGGCCCAGTTCCACCGCTACGTGAAGGGCCAGCGCAGCGTCGTGCGCTCCCCGCTGCCCTACGCCGTCCCTGAGGAGCTGGCGGAGCACGTCGACTTCGGTACGTCCTGCGTGGGGCGGGGGGGCAACGGGGCTGCTCCCGCTGCCCGGGGTGCGGGTGGGACGCTGGGCATCCAGCAGCCAGGACTGGCCACCTTGGTGCCCCCGGGGACAGTGTGGTGTGTCCTCCGGCTGTGGTCCCTAGACTCCCCCGAGGATGTAGATCCCTGGCCACAGTCAAGGTCAAGGTTGGACAGGGCTCTGAGCAACTTGATCTCGTTAGAAGATGTCCCTGCTCCTTCCAGGGGGGGTGGCCTTTAGATGTCCCTTCCCACCAAAGCCTTCTATGGTGAACAGGCAGCACCCAAAGTGTTTCTTGCTGGTGCTCTCGGTCCTGGGGGCTCCATGAGGAGAGTTGGGGTGCAGCCCGACCCTGTGGACAGAGGTGGAATTTCTGGGCTGGAAAAACTCCCTCCCGCGAGTCCCTTTTGGGTGGGCTCCCGCGGCCCCCCGCGAGGACAGCAGAGGGGTGCCAGGCTGTGGCACTGGCCTGGCAGTGGGGACATTGAGCCTGGGTACGTCGGTGGGGGTGGGTGAGGAATCCGAGGGAGCCCTTCCCCACCTCCTGTGCGGTGCTGGGGGTGGGTGGTGCTGGGGTCGGCCCCCCCAGCCCTGCTGCAGGCCAGCCCTCAGCCGTGAAGCCTGAGTCAGGGTGGTGAAGGGGAGCCAAGGGGCCACGGGGCCGTCCCCCCAGAGCTCAGGGCCCCAATAACTCCTGCTTTTCCCTCTTGTGCTGCAGTGGGTGGCCTGCACCGGTTCCCCGCGGAGAGGAGGGTGGTGAGCAGAGCCTGGGACGGGAAGGACGCGGGGCCGAGGCAGCAGCACGGAGCGAGAGCGGGTTTCCACCTGGGTGTGACGCCTTCCATCCTCCGCCAGAGATACAACATGACGGGGGCAGACGTGGGGCTGCACCCCAACAACAGCCAGGCCTGCGCCCAGGTGAGGGGCAGAGCTCTGCGGGAGCCCACACGGGTGCTTCTCCAGCGCTTTGCTGCTCGGGGGGGGTTCCTCAGTGGCTGGGGGGAGCCCCTGGTGGGCTAGTGTTTCACTGGCCCAGCCTGGGCCGAGTTTCTAAGTCGGGAGGAAAAACTTACGCTGTTTTTTTTTCAAGAGAAAACGAGAACAACCTTGTGCCCTCCTTGTCCCCCCAGTTCCTGGAACAGTATTTCCACCAGGCTGACCTGGCCGAGTTCATGCAGCTCTTTGGCAGCAGCTTTGGCCACCGCTCCCAGGTGGACCACGTGGTGGGGCACCAGGGCAAGGGCAAGGCTGGGCTGGAGGCCAGTCTGGACGTGGAGTACATCATGAGCACGGGCGCCAACATCTCCACCTGGGTCTTCAGCAACGCAGGTACCCACCCCCCTGCTCCGCGGGGAGACGCGTGGGCTCTGCAGGAAACGGCCCTGCTGGGTCTGTCTGCCCTCTGCCAGAGGGGGGGTCCCGGCGGGGTGTGCAGGGGGGTCCTGGTGGCTGCGGAACCCCCCAGAAGCTCTCCCAGCCACCATGGCAGGCGCCTCACAGGATTCCAGAGCTGGAGCTGGTTTCTCCTGGCTGGTGGGGACATTGTCTTCCATCGGTTTGTGCAGTTGCTTTGGAGCCCCCGTGGCCGTTGAGCACCCACCGTGTCCCGTGTTGGGGACCCCCAGCCCCCAATGCACCGTGTGAAGCAGCCCCCCCCCAACTCTGCTGCCTTCCCTCGGGGGGAGCGCAGGAACTCTCTCCTTTGGGGGTTTTTCCCTGCTTCTTCGGGGTGAAGCTGATGTTTCAGCCCTGGGTCACGGGGAGTGATGGAATTTGGGAGAACAGGGTGTCACCGCACCCTGCGTGGATGGGGCCGGGGCCGGAGTGCTGCCTGTCCCGATCAGAAACCGGTGGAGCAGGAGACGGTGCCCTCGGGGCGAGCAGCTCAGCCCCTGCCCCCTCCCACTGTGAGCCCCGGAACGGAGCAGAGACGGGGGCAACCGAGAGCAAGAAGGGGTGTTGGCTGTGCCCCCCACTGCCCGGAGGGGGCTGAGGGGCAGGGAGGCACCCTGGCAGATGGAGGTGGGGTGTCCATCAGACTGCTCGGGGTCAAAGGGACGAGGCTCAGCCAGGTCTCGGAAGGGCTACCTCGGCGCCGAGGGTGGCCACAGCCCTGCCACGTGCTGGGAGAGGGCGGGGGTGAGGGCAGACCCCCTGCTCTGGGGTTCGGGGGGACCCTTTCCCTGCTGGTCCTGGTGCCATCCACCGTGAGGGTCCCCAAATCAGCTGTGGGTGCTCCCCGGGGGCCTGGCGGGAGCTGGGGGAACTTCAGCTCCTGCAGCTGCTGGGGATGTTGAGGCACGGCTTCCCCCCAGGGGCTGTCCCCCCCATTTCCTTGGGGTCTGGGGCACTGATTGCACCATGTCCATGTCTCTGCAGGGCGGCACGAGAGCCAGGAGCCCTTCCTGGCCTGGCTGCTGCTGCTCAGCAACATGTCCTCGCTGCCCTGGGTGCACTCGGTGAGCTACGGGGACGACGAGGACAGCCTGTCCCGCGCCTACATGGAGCGCGTCAACACCGAGTTCATGAAGGCGGCCGCCCGCGGCCTCACCATCCTCTTCGCCTCCGGTGGGTCCGAGGTCCCGGCACGGTGGGGAGCCCCCAGCCGGGCACCCAATGGGCAGCCCCGGTCCCTGCCCGGGGCAGGGGGAGAGCCCCCCCAGTGTCCTGGCAGTGCCCGGTGGTCGCGGGGGCTGGGTGCCGTCTGTCCTGCCCATTGTCCCCTCCCTCCCCCGCAGGTGACGATGGCGCTGGGTGCAGGAGGGAGCCCGGTGGGAACCACACGTTCCGGCCCAGCTTTCCGGCCTCCAGGTAGACGTGGGGAGGAGAAGGGGGGTCCTGTGCTGAGGGGGGGTCTGTGCCGTGTGGCTGCAGCACCTCCCCCGGCCCGGAGCCGCTTCCAGCCCAGCCCAGTGTCCGGCTGCCGCCTCCAGCGCGTGTGGAGCCCCTTGGGGGGCTCCCGAGGGCCCCCCCTCCATTGAGGTCCCAGACGCCGGAACTGGGGGTCCTGTGCAGCTCCTGGGGGGGGGTCGGAGTGTGGGGTACGGCCCCGGGCAGCCGTGTGCCCTCCTGTCCCCCAGCCCCTATGTCACCACCGTGGGAGGAACGTCCTTCAAGAACCCCTTCCTGGTGACCGCGGAGGTGACGGACTACATCAGTGGGGGGGGCTTCAGCAACGTCTTCCCCATGCCTGGGTACCAGGTGAGGGGGGGCTTGGGGGGGGGACGAGGGGCTGTGGGGGGCACAGGCAGCCCCGGGGCTGGGCTGTGGGGATGGGGTCCCGCTGCCAGGAGTCCTGCTCCGTATGGACCCCTCTGGACATCGTGGGGTTCAACCAGGCTCAGTGCAGGGTCCTGCACCCCGGTGGGGGCAACCCCCGGTCCCGGCCCAGCCTGGGGAGGGGGGGATGGGGAGCAGCCCTGAGGAGAAGTCACAGGTAACAGGACGAGAGGAAATGGCCTCAAGTTGCGCCAGGGGAGGTTCAGGCTGGATATTAGGAACAATTTTTTCACTGAAAGGGTCATCAGCCATTGGAATGGGCTGCCCAGGGAGGGGGTTGAGGCACCATCCCTGGAGGTGTTCAAAAGACAGGTTGATGTAGTGCTGGGAGGTCTGGTTTAGTGATGATGCTCCTTGTTTGTTGTGTGGGTGTCTATTTTTGTCAGTTGGGTTGGCGGTTGGACAAGATGATCTTTGAGGTCCCTTCCAACCTAGAAGATTCTGTGATTCTGAGAAGGGCTTGGGGGGGGCAAAGCTGGCTGACAACGTGTGCTGACAGCTCAGAAAGACCCCTGGTCCTTGTGGTGGCCCCTTCCAGTCCCTGAAGTGGGGGGCTCCAGGAAAGCTGGGGAGGGACTCTTGATGAGGGAGGGGAACCCTAGGAGGAGGGGGAAGGGTTTGACCCTGAAAGAGGGGAGATGGAGCTGGGCTGTGGGGAAGAACTTGTTTGGTGGGAGGGTGGGGAGAGCCTGGCCCAGGTTGGCCAGAGAAGCTGTGGCTGCCCCATCCCTGGAGGGGTTCAAAGCCAGGTTGGAGGGGGCTTGGAGCAACCTGCTCTGGTGGGAGGTGTCCCTGGGTGGGACTGGGGGGCTGTGATGTCCCTTCCCACCCCAGCCCCGCTGTGACCCGTGCCCCCTCTCTCCCCAGACGGCCGCCGTGCGCCGGTTCTTCCGCTCGGCCCCGAAGCTGCCCCCCAGCTCCTACTACAACAGCTCCGGCCGGGCCTACCCCGACCTCTCCGCTCTGTCCGACAACTACTGGGTGGTGACCAACCGCATCCCGCTGCCCTGGGTGTCGGGGACCTCGGTGAGGAGGGGGACGGCCCCTTGTTGGCCCGCGGTGGCCACAGGGCCGGCTGCTGAGGCGCCGGTGTCTCCCGCAGGCGTCCACCCCCGTGGTGGGGGGCATGGTGGCCCTCATCAACGACCGGCGCCTGCAGCGGGGGCTGCCCCCCCTCGGCTTCCTCAACCCCGCGCTCTACCAGCTGCAGGAGCAGGGCCACGACGCCGCCATCTATGACGTGAGTGGGGAGGGGGTTGGCACGGGGAGGGGGGTGGCA